AACCACAACCCCTCTCAATGCCTACGATACGATCAGTTCGAACTTAATCAACCTTCGTCAACCCTAAATACGACTCCAATTCCCGAAAAACTGCAAATAAGACTCCGTGGGGCTCGGCTAGACGGACGGTTGACCCTCTCCCCGTCGGTCAATTACAAGCCAATGTTTGTTTCCTCGCAGATTGGTACCAACTAACGGACCACTAACAACACAGTCTGACCTGTCGCCAAGATAAGCACGTTTCGTAAGCGATATTACGGGGCCAAGACAGGACGCTATTGTTGAGGCGGCGACATTCCATGAGTAATTGCAGCCTGCTCATTGATTTCACTATCGTGTACCACCGAAAAAATCTAAGTCGTCAAAATTGCAGCAGCAGTTGCCTATTCGAAACTACCTATCAATACTTAACAAGTACCATCGCACTTCGAGCCAACCAACTTTCATCATCATCAGATCCAATACGGAAGACTGTAACGATATGTTTATATGTTTTACCGCATAAAATAAACAACCTAAATCAACGAACAAGTCTATTACGTCAATAACTTAATATCGTACACGCATAAATAGGCCCAGAAATCGCAAAAAAATTCAAAGCGTTCAAAAACCACATTTGACAACAGAGAACGGACCAGATTAACATGAATTTCTTTTTACCGTGAATTCAACAGAAATACCAGGAACAGTCCCTATATATTCTGGAATACCCAGTAACAACAACAACCATTTGAAAACGAACACCTTAGCTACGGCTCCAGCGACAAATCACATAGCCAGCTTTGTGCCTTTCTTCACCTCCGGCTGGTTGCGGAACACTCCTCGCTTGTTCTTGCCCTAAACAGCGCATTAGTACTGCTTCCGCTCCGAAGAGAAAGTCGAAACAAAAAATGTCACATTCTGGATCTGAGATTTAGCTATATAGCCATTTTTGAGCAAGACTTGATGTGAATGTGATAACAGCAAGTTAAAATTGGACGAAGTGGAGCAACTACCCTTTAGCTGGACAGGAGCGACATACAATAAATTGGTCGTACCAATCACCACACGCAAAATGGTTTCCTCACTTGGAAAACTTATACATCGATTGTTTTCTTAGAAAAAAAAACCTGGTGATCTAGGTATCCGTGTGATGTTCATTGACAACACATAGCCTTTTTCTTGCTCCATGTTAAGTCAGCCGTCATAAGTACTGTGAGTTTTAAGAGTGTAAAGAATCCCTCCCTTTAAAACAGCCGTAGAGTAAGCCTTGAGGCGGGATCAATTTGCCGAGTGTTTCTTCACGCAACGAGGGCAACAAAGCACGTAATAATAGTCAACAAACAAGAAAACTTCAGAGATCATGAAAACAAATCGAAAAACAAAAAAATCGTAAACTTCTCACCTTGGAGACTTTCTTAGTATCCACCACGATCTGTCTCTCACTCCTCTTAATAACTGGTCTATTTTCAGGATGCTTCACTTTGTATATGCGCACCAGCCAATTCTCTGATGTGAAAGCTTCCTCAATGTACTCTAAGGTGATATCCTAAAAAAAAAATGAAGAAAAAGAGAACAACTTTCAAATAAAACAATTCCCGACCTTCTTTCCAATCACATATCCACGGGTTCGATCAAACCCTTCTTGATTGTAACCCATCCTCACATCAGCGAAACGATAGTACGACATTTTGTACATCAAACAGTTCAGCATTGTTTCCGATGCCTGAGCTCCCACGCTGTATTCACCCGATTCTGTGAAGTAATTTGCTTCCTAAAAGAAAGCCATTTTGAAGACTTTGAGAGGATATGATCTCGGTGTCACACAAGTATAAATCTAAGCTGTTTTGAGTATGGCCTTAGCTTATCAACCATTTGACATGTGACGTTTCTTATTGTCTGCGCCTTAAACACTGATCTACAATTTCCAAATTTTTCAAATCTACAAAATGTTCTGCCGGATTGTAACGAAGTTCTTTCTTGCCCACGCTATCTTGCATGTGACTGAATGGGAGCGCCCGTGCAGCCGGTTCATGGTTATGAGCTCCTAAGATAGACGTTCCGAAATGATTTCTCCACTTTACTACTCGTATAACTTCGTATAATGTATGCTATACGAAGTTATGCTGGTTTGAAATATCCGTTTTTTTCTCGAGTTTCAAGTCGAAAAAGGGTAGTCGCGAACAATCGTGTGCAGCCAACTAGAGGCAAGCTTCGATGAAACGACACTGTTTAAACATTTCTAGCTTATCCATAAAACCAAAATGGGCAGACGAACAAAGTTGCCTAGGAATCTATACCGCAACCTCTTCCCTGTGAACCTTGATTGATACCGTCGCGCTCTCCTACCACATAAATCCGCTAGCGAAATCTAGGCTAGTTTGAGATCACCGTTTCAGAACGCATGAAAGAATACACGTATTATCTCGAATGGCCATGGCGACATGAGGGTTCTCCCTTGAAAGCATGGCCCCTTTCTACAACCGAACCTTATTCGCCTTCACACTTTTCTCTCACCTTGATCTCTTTTGGATGCTCTCCTTCAGCAATTCGAACCATCCACAAAAACTTGTTGATATCGTCACCGGAATAACCAATCACTCCGCCGAAAATCACCAGTACATAATCAACATCCAGTTCTCGCATGATTTCATAAGCGGCCGGTTCACTTGACGACATGGCTTTTCCAACCTAGAACAAGCGTGACACAGTGAGTCAATTATAAAATATAGCAATAGCCTTATTTAGCAAAACGTCGAGATTCCTAAACTCGAAAGACGTGTTCGACTCAATAAACAGTTCTCAGAGAAGTTACTGTTAGTATTGGCTCGTTAATCAGATTTCTCATTTGCATGATTGCGTAAGAATAGGATTAGCAATTATTCAATTAAAGTTGCTCCAACCGAAAGCAATGAAAAACTATTGAAAAAAGAAGCAGTGATGAAATCCAATTATTTGTTCAGTTAGTCAGTTCCTGTTATGGGAATCACGAACTTGTAAAAAAAATACTCCACATGAGCAAACTGATTTTCGAAACCATCGTCAAAAAAGCAATGTGATTTAACCAACCAAAGCGATATGCGAGTTATTCCAAGTGTTGTTGTCAACTAGAGTAGTCCGATTTGCCATTCCAGCAATCTGATACCCATAATCCCACCACGACATTATTCTCGCATCATCAGCTGTGTTCTCGCTCAACCAGTGGTATGCCTCACGGAAATCATCCATAATGATGCGATCACTGCAATTAAGTTCACATTATAAAAGTCCGCGAGTAAAGAATAGACTGATTTCACAAGCATACTTCAGTTCTCACCCTTGACTATTAGAGCTCTGAAGTACGACAGAAGGATGAGAGTAAGCGTTGCTGGTCACATATGTTGCGTGAACGACAAACATTAGAAGGAAGAGCACCAGTACAACGCTCACTAGCGATCGTGTGTTGACTCCAACGGAGTCATCAGACGAATCAGATGATGCAGCAGTCTGGAATTGGTCCACAATATCTCACATATCGAACTTAAACCAACAGGGTGGAATTAGCAGACCGATGGCCAACGATAAGCATTCTATGCAATATTCCGAAAATTCTAAGACTAAATCAACAAAATGAAGCTGTAATTGACTTTCGACAAACAACAACTAGAGAGGTAACATGTGGCGTAACGATCCATGACGGCACCTATTCACGACATACACATTCAGCTATACCTTTCCTTTCTTTGTCACTTTGTCGTACATCTGGCGATCCGAATCAGATTTCGTCGAAGACTTTTCATCATCACGTAGATATCTAGAAGAAGAAAGTTAGCTAGAAAGAAAGAAAAAAAGAAAGATTCTGTACATCCATACAGATATGATGGACAGCGGAAGAGCATTTGAGTAAGCATTGAATGGAACCTGATTGCATTCAGCAGTGACATATCTATAGTTTTCGAAAAAAGCTGAAGTTCGACTCTACCATACTAGCTAGATGAGGTAATGCTACAAGATGAGCGGCAAGGAGAGGGGGAAGCATTTGGAAGCGATAGTTCGTGTGGATTACGGTCGAAGGCCACTGTGTGCTTTGCACCACCCTATAGTCACATACTCCAAATGAGACTGTCCAATCAGAGCTTTACATCGCATATGATGACTATCTTTCAATCTGTGGCTAAAAGGGCAACAAATGAAGTCGATATTTGACATGAAATTGGAAAACGAGTGCAAACAAGTTTAAAATGCTAGGATCCGAGAAAAAATCAAACAGCTACCCATCCGGGCTTGACGAAGGGTATTCTGCACAAGCTCAAAGAGTGAAAAATAAAATAAAAAATGAAACGACTTGGAGAATTTTCGTACTTTTCGAAAGTGTAGGAGAAGGCAATTCCTGACAATACACATACAGCTGGAGTAAGTGTTAACATGAGACGAACCATCACACCAGCAAAGTACACAGCAGTCACAGCGTAAAGGATAACTAAACAGAAATTTGTCTGATGCAGCGAACCCACACAGAAAGGAACATTTCTACTCACTGAAGACACGCTCGTCATTCACATTCTTCACACAGTACCACACTCCTACTGGAAACACGGCAGCTGTGATTTGAAGGTCAAAGAAAAACGATACCCAAGTCGTGGGTTGATGCTCGGAGACTGACGCGATGATAGGAATATGAATCTGAAGGAACCAATGGTGATAGTTCAACATGGAAGTCAAAACAAACTAACCTTGGCATAGCCAGTGTCCCATAGGGAATAGAAACGACCGGAAAACGGAGCAACGTAACCTAAAGGAAGATAACTACCGAAAGAACTTTAGTGACAATGAGAAGATACGGTGAACAAATGAATGTCTGATAAAGTATTTTTCAGCGTGCACAACGTCAAAGTAGTTATACAAAGGTTAGAAGTCATTAAGGGCAGCCCATTGGGATCACGGTAGAGGTAATGAGTGATACCGAATGAAAAAACAGCCCAGAACCCGAGAACTAGGACCCCACTCTTGCCCGATGATTCCCGCGAAGGGCCATGCTGATCACGGGGCATATCTTTCGTTGCGAATTGCGTGTGGGCCCGCGCCCCTAGGGGCCTTACCGTCTGTCCACTAGGCAAGATTCCACCTTTTCTACTTTTGTTCGTACCTTAGAATCACCCCTTTGGAGATTACACATGATACCGTAATCAAGAAGGCGGCATCAAAAAGGGTTTCTTTGTCTGCAAGTTGACCTCCCAGTAAATTTGATCATTTCGTGTACTAGCACGAATAGTGAGTGGTCAACCCTGCTCTGCGAACACGCCATGGAATCATTTCTAACTAGAAATGCCATATCCTTACCTCCCCAAACCAGAGCAAAGTACACGACGAATGCTAGGCAACCAACTGCAGTTAGTCCACCAACGAATAGCGTCATAAACTGCTGACGCGATATACGTTGACGAGCGTACTGCATTGCGGCAACAATCTAAGAACAAAACATAAGTCAGATTTGAAAGAAAAGTAGATGTGATTACGTACCTGAAGAAGACCGAAGACGCCAAATGCAGGCATATGCTCGGATGTGCGGACAGGTTGAAAGCCGACGAAAGGAATCTGCATCGATAATACTGTGGCAAGACAGTAGAAGGTGGTATAAGCGACGAACAGACGTGACGAATATCGACCTTCAAAGTAGCAAATAAGAGCTGCCTCTTCAGACGGTCCAAGAATTGTAAACTCACCAATTAGAATCAGAGCAACAACATGCAGAGGAATAAGATTGATGATGAACACATAGCCTCCCCAAGCCGATACCATATAGAAATAAGAAAGCGCGCAGAAGGAAGCCCACATCACTGAGCCAGTTTTCAGAGACTTCACCCATAAATAGTAAGTGAACTAAATACGAAAGCTTTAGAGTAACACTTGAAATGAATTTCGCATAGTTAAAAATGTACCTGAAGGGCGAAAATGGCAATTCCCTCATTGTCATAGGAACCAGCCACAGAACGGCTTGTATATCCGGGTGAGATGGCAATGAAGCAAGCAGCAAACAAACCTAAAGTCGTTACAAATGTCTTATGATGGTAATAACTGCGTCATGTGAGACAATAACATTCGTGTTAGAAGGCCTTTTCAGTAGCAGTACCACACCACTAAATCTCACCAGCGCCAGGTGACCACAATTCCTTCGTTAGAAAATACGTGGCAATCGCAGTCAAGCCCGAGAACGTTGGTGCCAGGAACACACAAATTTCCCTGCAAAAGCGAAACACTAATGCACCGAAATGAACATGTACAAATGAGATAAACAGCAAATGTATCAGCAAACGCTTATCAATAATTAAACCCTTGAAATACTCTTAGAAACGATTCAATTTCAATATGATTCAATCGCAAGCGGAACAGAAATAATGGGCATTTGTCAACGTTTCAAACTGACTAGGAGGCCTGTTAGGATAAGTTACCTGATGTGGACATGGAAATTCAGTGTATCAAGAATCCAGTGGATGAGACCCGATGTGACCATCAAACCCGGATACACCTAAAACAACTAGCAGGTATTAAAAGACCTGAACTCATATTTTCTCATTTTTCTTTACAGGAACACAGTCACTATTAATCAGACTCAGTCCGACTGGCAATAACGATAGGCAGACAGCTGACTGATCACCGATGAGATCATAGTAGCTAATCGATTAATTTATACTCTTCTAGATCGCTGTGCCTTGATATTTATTGCTATGAACATGGAGGCTTCGGCATACCGTTCCACCGACGATTCTTCCAAGAGGATACCACGCTCGCTCATCGAACCAGTTGAGAAAATTATAGTACCCATGTTGAACCATGTGGGCGGTTGCACGGTAATTGAACCTAAATTTTTACAGCCTGATATTTAGGGTACAATTCTTCGAATCCTGGAGAATTTTTTCTGCACAACGCTCACCATGGATCGAACTCATGAATAATCGACTCGAATCGGACAATGGCGAATAGTCTCGAAGCGAATCCAACGAACCATGCCAACGACAAGATGGCGAACGTCAGCAGCGAAGTTAACCCCAGCGAGTTCCCTCGAAAGAAGCCCGTGTCAGTCGTCATTACCCTGAACTGAGAAAAGTGAAACAGAATTGCAATTCACCTGGAACAAAGCAAAGCGCAATTATTAAACAATGGAATTGGCCACAATAATAACAAATGACGGGAATAGCTTCAAAACAAGCGTAGACACTGATAGACAAAAAATTCTAAGAGGACAAAACAAAAAGCTGAGAATTCAGAATGGAGGAATCCAAACGTTCGTGGCGATCGGATAAGCTAGTGTGTCATTATAGAACGTGCTTGTGAAGACTAATTCAAGTCAAATGGGTCAAAATGTGAAAAATCCATTAGACCAGAAAAGAAGCCAAGATGCAAATTGTTACGCAAAGCAAGCCGTTGTGCTTATTGCTAAGTGCACCCATTTATGGCCAGCATGCTGAAACGCACAAAACACTAGAACCGCATGTTCGTGGACTGCCAACTCTAGAATGAGAGCAATGGTTTGTATGTATGTTAACAAAAACAGTAAACGTCGAGAAACGACGTATAAAATAGCGAAAGGATTGACAAGATGAGAATTGAAAAAAAAACGAACCTACATACGCTCGCAAGAACTCAAAAATGCTGAGCTGTGGTAATATAATATCAACCTGATGTAGGTAAGCGCTCACGGCTAACGGCGCTGACATGCTGACACAAGGCTATTAGGGTCTCATTCAGCTTCGGCGAGAAGCTGGGGGAGACTGTATTATAACTTCAGTCCGGTACCATTCGTACCTAGTAAGTAGCTGCCCTCACCCCCCACCCCCTAGACTGCCTTCACACCCCCTGGCTCACGGGGTCCCGTACATCGAGAAACCTGTGCGCCAGGGGGAGTGTAGGCAGTCTAGGGGGTGGGGGGTGAGGGCAGCTACTTACTAGGTACGAATGGTACCGGACTGAAGTTATAATACAGTCATGGGGGGAGGAGTACTGCGATTGAGCGCTCTAGCATTTAGAAACACTGGATTGTTATTGGAAGTTGAGGACCAGCTACAAAAGAGAGGAAGACCGCGGGGCCCATGAGCAATTTTCGCTTTCTCGGGGACTTCTTCCCCTTTCCTATGGGTTAGTACTAGCTGCTCACAAAGTAATTATCAATTTTCATAGACTTCTTTGTCATCCAGCACAAGAACACATAGAATTACACAAAACACCTCAAAAACAATGTAGGAAATAAAGCCAGAGCTGACAGCAACTGTTAACTTTGAAGGGCTCCTTGAGCGAAACTGTCACTAAAGCCGATCCATAAACCCATTCCCCCTCCACGCGATGGAGAAACCGGTATACTTGCGTAGAAATTTGCGTTTTCTTTTACCCTTATTCTACCACACGTGGACAATATCTCGATCACGGCGATCCGCAGACAGGCTGATGGTGCAATCACACTCAGCTAGCTGTCAGCAGGTCGCAGTGCTTTACTAAGCGGAGTCGCCTTGCCAGTTCTTCTCCAGACTGCGCGTGAAATGGAGACTCACTATTTCTCTGAGCAAGCTGAGGACCTAAGGCAAGGCCCAAGTCTACGGCATCTGGCCAGAAAACCAACGTGGAAGCATAAGCTAAGCCTAGGTCAAATGCAAGCTCGAACTAAGGCGTCGATGATCGCAATCACATGACGAGCACCTCTGGGGCCGTAAGGTATGTTTCCCGAAGGGTCAGTAAGTATGCTTCCCCGAAGGGTTAGGGGACGAAAGTTCCTTTAAATTTTCTCTGTAGTCCCAACTGGGATTGTCCTGATAAAGGGCCTACATCTAATATATGTGTGTAGCTTAAAGTAAGCATGCATTGAAAATAAAGAAACAGTATCGTTCAAAACAAAAAATTTAAAGGGACTTTCGTCCCCGCAACCATTCGGGGAAGCATACCTTACGGCCCCTGGGGCAGTACTGCAACTTCCCCATACTCTCCCTCCATTGGAAATGGAGTATCAAGTGACAGTGAAGTTCAAGATTCAGAACATTGCGGACTAGCAATGGTGGAGGTGCAAAAATTAGGCCGTTGCTAAAGGTACATGGAAACTGTCAATGAGGCTTACAGCTGACGGTGGTGACTTTCTTTAAATTAAGCCTCCGGAACGAACGACGGACTTCAGTAAGCCTGTCGGGGCGCCGAACATTGCGGAATGCTGAGTTCCACTCATTCCTGCAGTCAAATGTGATTGATGGTAAATCATTGTTGCATGAAGCGCCATCTACATTGCTACTACCGTTGCAGTTTTGGCCTCTAATCTATCAGCTTCTAACTACGACCAGCTTCTAACTACTGATCATTGTTCAATATGCATCACTTGTTAGTCTCAAATGGCAAGTGGACTCAAGACCCCTCAAGATCACTTTTGAAATCTGTTTGAGCCTATAATTATGACGCAAGGGCTATACAACTTTTAAAGAACGTCATTTATCTTGAAAAAAGTCCTCGCGCCACTCGGCAGAACCAGTTCCGCAATTCATTCACAAAATTATTATTTGTCAACGGGTAAGTGAACTTAATTGATGATGCCGTTATCCAGTACAAATTGGACGTGGATTAATTCCAGATGGGAATTCCGCAAAGAGAAGGGCATGAAGCTTCTTAGACACGCCATTTTCACGGCGAAACATCACAATTGCGCGAACTCTCTGAAGTCGCCATATAAAAAACCTTAACTGCTGACGTATCGATAAGTTCCTAACGGTGAAAGCAGCTGATTAACTGCCTTGAAATGAAGCAATAGAACGGCAAACTGGGTATGAGCTGTGACCTCGATTTGATTGCCGTGGCACACGTCTCTTGAGCCCTTTAAACGAATCGCTGCGGGACCCACACCTGAACTCCGCTGTGGGGTGGCTCCAGCGGCACGAAGAGTTCAATCTCAATCCGACTCCAAATTAATCGTTATTGGCATCTAATAGTACTCTACGTCTGAGAATCCGGTGGATTTCGAGACGGCATTGTTGCTGATGTTGTCGTTACGCTTTCTAAACCAGTTTGGAGAGAGAAAGTCGGCGGACTTTTTTCCCCTCGCAAGGCTTCTCGGTCTTTGAGAAAAAGTCCTCCGAAATGCTCCCCTTACTTGGAGTAAAGAAGGCTGTGATAACAAGAATTTGCTGGACGCTTCTTTTGTTTGTGTTGCTTATATTCGAAGTGCAAAGTAATTTCTAAGTCACTATAGTTAAACAGTGTCTCATTGTCAGTTGAGTGTTAACAAGTTCTTACAGTTTGGTGTTTAGTTTTTGTTGCCTTCCGAACGCATGCACGGCTATATTCTCCGTTCTAGATGTTTGATTTTTGAAACGGGTTTCTTCAGTTGTTGTATTTGAAGACAACCTCCCGTTGTGATCCACAACACCTGATCGCTTTAAGATGAGCAATCGAGAAAGTTCCAATACTTAAAGGACTTGTGTTCGAAACGGGATTTTCACTTGTCAGCTAGGATTACCTTAAAACCTACAAAGGTGCTCCACCTGTGATCGCCGCGCATCCGAATCTTGGCTTGGTGATCGTGACGGCACTTAAATGTCCTGCGCTTCATTAGTAACGCGATTCGGGGAGTCCGAGATTAGGTATATTCAGGCGAATGGAAATTACGTGTTTAATGGAAACCGATTGGGTCAAGTGACTAACGAGATTGTGCCGGTTGCAATAAGGAACATATCTTATCCCCAATACCTTAAGATCTAAGTCAGCCAGGGCGAGGGGAATGGTGATGGACAGTTTATTATCTCAGAGGATACAGAAATAACAGGATAATAGACCCTGTTTTGCTTTACACGTATATATTACATTTTGTCCCCTTAGCCTAGGAGGAGGGATGGAATACAGGTCCTAGATGAGGTCCTAATCCTACTCTCCCGGGTCTGTGTCGCTGGAACTGAACGCGAATTTTTCGCTTTTCGCAGCGCGAAGTTTTTTCGCTGCGGGAACTCCAGGTCCACTGACAATCAGGGTGGACCTGGGGTTCCCGCAGCGAAAAAAGCTTCGCGCTGCGGAAAGCGAAAAAGTCGCGTTCTGTCCTAGCTACTCACACCCACACCGACTCTCCGCGGGATATTCTGAACTGCAACTATCTTTGTTTCACTGATGTCCTAATCCTCGATATATTTCTCCTCCTTGTCGAATATTCCGCCTAAGTCGTGGAGTATGAACGCGGTATAAGTGCGTTTTTGGTGTACACCGTGTCTTGTTTAGGCCATATGATGTTTAAGTCTATGTGGAGAAGTTCAACTTGAGCAACCGGCGTCGAGAAAGGAAAGGCCGTGCTGGGCCAAATGGCTGGGTTTTGGCCGCTGTGTGTGTGAGTGAGTAGCGCCACTAAGTGTCCATAAATGTCTGCATTGGAACCGAATTTGTTGAGAGAAAACGAAAGACGCTCGTATTTTGCAAATCTGGTGTGTATGTGATACCATAAACATCTACTTGCATTTGAGAAAACATTATTGTATCAAGAACAGAACGGGGTAGTATGCCGGAAGTCGTCTTGTTCTCCACGTAGGAGGTGCAGGTCAGATCTTAAATCTCGCCCAGGCCAACAAAGCCTTCCATCCATTCTGGATCGGGTAACTGCTACCAGACTCTGCGGGGGAGAGGGGGTGTAGAACACCGTCTTGTGCAGTTAGCTATTGAAAATACGATTCTGCATTGAATAAGGGTACGTAGCACAGGAGCTCGGGAGGAGGGGTGGGGGAAGGAGGGGGAGGGAGGACACTCATTGTGCTTTCCAATACTCAAGATAAGGATTAGAGCGCTCACGACACGTAATCGACTCATTTAAAGTATACTTCTGATAAGTATCGGTGTAATGTGGAAGAAACCCTGAGATTCACATTTCCGCCTGCCATGAAAAAGTCCAAGGAAACGGTTTTGGACTAGGAGTATGGGCATCATTGTCTGAGCCACGGGAGTGGATATCTTTGCCTGAGCCTAAGGTAGAGGAGTTCCAGGGGGTGTGACTCGTGAGACAGAAAACGACTTTTCCGCGTTTCAACGCGCGAAATAGTTTCGCTAGGAGAACCCCAGGTTTACTTACACCAGCGGTGGGGCTC